TCTTTAAATCCGTTAATGTCGCGTAGTGTAATTGGTATCGTTACAACCCATCTATAAAGCTGTGTTTATCTAGCATTACTGATTATGTTAAATTAACAAAAGGCTCCGTGTTATCGGATAATCCTGGTAAAAATAATAATAATAAAAAGAAAAATGTAAAGCATTTCAGACCGTAGACTGTTACTGATGTGGTTCATTTGTACAGTTTAACTGTTTTTCCTCAAAAAGAAGAGAGATTGACAGTTGATGTAGCGGATCTTTCTTCTTGTGGAAAGAACCCTCTATCTGTCACGAACGGAACGTGACGTGGCTAAGTAAATAAATAAGGGGGCGAATGGGCCAAATAGTGTGCACTTAAGATGCTTCGGTAGATCCACACACATCGACGGTGTTTACCTCCAGCTACAGACTGTAACTTAAGCTCAGTTACTCGTATTACATCTCTCCACCAATCGGACAAGTGACTAATTTCTATGTAAATCCCCAAACCTCCTCGTCTTTCCCATATCTCCGGCAGATGGTGATAAGCTGGCAGGAAACTGTTTCTTTAGACTTGACTTGAAAAAGCTTCCTTGCAGAAAACGGATGTGTGCTACTTAATCCGCTACAGGCGCGCATTTAGTTAAGAAAAGCTTCTGTCCTACACCAACATGTTTGTTTAGAAAGCTTCTAATCTATTTATACCAAAGATCGATAATACCCTCTTCTTCTTCTTCTTCTTCTTTTACCGCCACCTTCTTAATTACGTATTGAGACACAAACTGGCCTTTTCTATCTTTTTCTGTTGCTCTCCGGAATCACCGTGCTCCTTCCAATCGACTTGGAGTCTGCTTACGAAATAAAATTTATGCAAATGTAAGCAATATTGTGTGTGTGTGAGAGAGAGGGAAAGAAAGTGGCTGTAAGTAGAAAGAAGAGCTCCTATCTAAAGTATATTTTGGGAATTTTTATAGGGTATGAAATTTACGTTTCAACCCATTATTTGAACTTTAAGGCCTAAATTTAAATTATAATTTATGGCATAATTTGTGTAAGATTAGATTCATTGTTAAATTAGGAAACTAACTTTCCTCTACAAGAACCTTAAGGATGCAATTATCGCATTATATAATATATTTTAGCGCTTTTCTTCGATTTATATTTAATATTACTAATTGAATATTCGTACAGATCAAAAATAATCATCGTCTTTACAGATTTTCGATTTTTTTCCCCTTGTAATTATAAATATAAGACGTTTTAAATGAGATGTAAAGCGCAAAAATATGACTGACAAATAATCATGCAATCCACACAAAGATACAGTACATTTGCATTGACCTCGTCCATAAAAAGGGAGAAGAAATCTGATGAAAATAATCCTTTTTAATATTTACAGCCGGAAATACTAAGGTGACAAGCAAACAATTGCATCATCTGCCGAACAAGAGCTACGGTTACACCAAACAAACTCGTTTTATGTCCAGCATAAACAGTCTATAATGCGACTTCTTTATATGGGAAAGAATAAAAAAAAAAATATTTTTTTTTGAGTACCTCTGACTCTTTTGCTGTCGGAATAACACGATTTACAGCCATCAACCAGTTTCTCGATCACTCTTCTGTCAGTCGGGTGTGTAAACCGCCTTTTCCTCATCTCTTTCCACTACAAACAGACAACTTACAATGTCCAGATAAGAAGTTCTTTCTTGGTTCGTTGAACTTCTTCTTCCAAGGACTCTTCCTCTAGTATTTTGTAAATTTACGCAAAGTGCGTATATTGCCTGCACTTAAATGCCACGTCTTCTTACACCAATAGAGAGAGAGTGGAGTTTAAAGTAACAAGTAGAGCAGCAGCGCCAAGCCATGCATGATAACTGGAGTTTTCATTAATAAATCACGTCCGGCGGGACTAATGTCGATGAGAATTGGGAGTATTTAATGGATATTCCGCATTCGCATCCGAGTCAAGGTGATGTAGAAGTTAGTTGCTGGAGATAAATACAGCTTGCACACCAGAAAGACGTTTATAACAGTAATCGGTGTAACACGGTACTGTACACAAACCCATTTGTCTTGCCACTCAACAACAAAACAATTCATTTAAACCCATTAAATTGCCATGGATTTTCTGGTAAAGTGCTAACGACTCCATGTCCAGAAATGATGTGGAAGAGGTGGAGACGGCACCTCGCCCCATAAAGACTGAAGAGAATTGTGTTTCGTCTCATTACCGGTTTAATAACAGGAGAGAAGCAACGTGCAAACTCGACTGGCTTTAATTACAAGAAATGCTTGCCTCTTGCTGAAATAAACCGCTAAAAATATCCCATAGAAAGAATTGTTATAAAATGATAGACAATTATCCTTTATCATCAGATATTTTACTATTATTAGACAAAACTGATTGTACCAGTTTAGGTTTACAATTATTGCAAGAAGCAATCCAATGCCGCGTGCGTTTACGAAATTTAAGTAGCCCGTCACGTTCTCAAATTTGCAAAATTTGCCTGTGCACGTCATAAAACTGGATCAGAGTGTCCTCTTTCGACCTACTTGTTTCTCATTTGCTTATTATAACACGATAGTAAAATTAGAGACGGCTAAATTGTTTACGTAAGACAAGCTTTTCTCTTTCCAATTAATAACCTCCGGATGTAGTAGAACGTAAACCACTGCACAACCCTCGAAAACAGTAAAACGTCACGCTATATGTATACACCGCTAGAGAATGTAGAAATTATCCGCTTTTATAACCCATAAAGTGGGGGAATAATTGTCGCAACGGCCTTAACTCTCGGTTTTATGCCCCGAGCTCTCGTATAACCCGCAGTGGAGCGCGCAAGGAACGAGTGGTGCATTCGATTAGAAAAAGATACAAATGGCGAAACAAGTGACAAGTAAAGCTAACGAGGCGATAAATACTAAGTCGAGCACGGGTCCCAAAAATGAACGGAAGTTGTCTGAAGTGAGCGGATGCGATACAACCCTTTGAGTGGGCATGAAAGGAGGCAAGGTTTCTCACGAGGCAACGAGCCACAGGTGCCGACCGAAACCGTTACTTTATAAATCAGAAGTTGGCAGACCCTGGACGTATAAATCAGGAGGTGTAAGAGGACGGCTTCGAAAATCGGTCAGGTGTGAGGTCAGTCATTGTCATTTACCAGATGCGGTTGCGGTGCCAAGTGCGGACGACAATGACGCTATCCTCGCTACAACTTCCGGCAATAATTTCTTTGGCCGATGGCGAATCGTATTGTGACTTCACCATAATGCAGGTATTTAACCCTCAAAAGCTTATCGCTACTGCGACCTGTCGCTTAAAATGTCGAACAGTGCGTTTTAATAAAGTGCTACTACCCCCAGTTCGGGTCTGGTTATCGCTACTCCATCGTCTAGCTGGGTCTTGAGTAAAGGATCCTGGAAAAAACGGACAATAGAAGAGTAGATCCACTTTCTGCAACCCAAAGAATAGAGCCAGTTTGGGAAATATATTGCCTATATAAGCTTTGAATATAACAGGGATGCCCGGGATTTCCTCACGAAACGATGAACTTTGGCAGAGGTGTCGAGGCCGAGTCATTTTAATTACCGAGAAGAGATTTCGACCAAAGCAGATTAAACCACAAAAGTCGAAAGATTAAGCCAGAATGGAGATGTCAAAGTGAAACAGTATGTGGCCAAATGGCGCAAAACTGGTTCTGCCATTGAAAAGTCACGCCGCTGTCCTTTTAATTACATTCTATAGAAATAAATAGCTTTAAAGTAACTATCGAGTAGTCTCAAACGGCTTTAAACTTTACTCGTTCTTTTGGGTTTCCACACACAACCGCACAACGAGGATCAATAAATGTATTTCAAGTCCTTTATGCTAAAAATATAAGTAATAAAACTAGTGATATAGATTTCAAATCGGTTGCGGAATAACTAGCAGAAAGAAGTACATTTTGCTTCTTATATTTCGCTACACAGACCAGCAAGAAAGCGGTCAATATGGCACGAAGTAATCAAATAATACACCTATAAACTCATTCGAAAGCTAAGTAAAACTATTTAAATACTAAATATTTCAAATTTTCAATGGGATTTCTTTTCAAAAATTCGACAAATCCAACTGGTTTCGTGCCGAAATTCGTAACAAAAATGATTATTTTATCGAACTAGGAATCGAGATAAAAGCAATCTGCAGTAGTTAAGGTGGTTAGATTTCGGTCTGCCACAATCAGAAATTGATAAAAAGAAGATTAGCGACAAGTTAGAAGAAGATCGAAAGTAACTGCTACAGAATAAATGCAAAAAAAGTCACCTAAAGAAACGTAACAATTAAGAAATAGGCATGCGTACATTCGAAACATAGCGTAACAATCTCAAGCCCCCAATCGTAGAATTGTTACCGTCAAGCCCTGTAATGTCTTAGCGTAACTAATGTAATTAAACACACACAAGCCTTAGTATCTAACAAAGTAACACTCTAGAGATAATACGAAATATGTAAATATATTTTAAAATTTTCGTCTATTTCTAATCGCGATTTTTAAATAGACTTTTGTTAATTGGTCTGTCTGTCCGGTCTTTAGTAACATATCTATCAATCGGCCTGCGGAAAGTTATGATTAAATTGATTTTTGTTTGAGGTATTGCACCACACAATGAACGTTTGCTACTCCCTTACAGTTCAAATAATATTGGTAATTTATAGTCTCTTTAAAGGGCCGTATCATCCACTCATACTGTAATTTTAAGTATTAAGCAATTAAACTTAAAATACTAAAGAATATGCACGATTAAATAAGATAGGAAAGTACAATAGCAACCTGTGGTAAGAGAGGAAGGGAGAGATGAATTCTGAAGGGCCTACAGGCCCGTCTAATTTCTAAATCTATATTTGAATTAGAGAAAAGTATTTAAGGATAGCTTTCGTGGACATTAAATACTATATAAGAAGCATAATCTTGTATTTTTTGTTGTTGTCGTTCTCATTTGTACTTTGTTATGACGAGTCCCTTTACTCGTTTCCTTCTAATATGATTTATGAACGTCGGGCCCATTCGACCTCCCAACGGGCCCGAAAATCCATAAATTACGTTAAGTAGAACAGGATATGGGATTTCTATTGCATCATTTTTGGGCACACGTTTGGGTACAGACGAGCAGAGGAGGAGAAAATATAATCTATACATAAATTTTTTTATGCCTTTATAAAATCAACTTTATTCTGCCAGCCTTATTCTGTAGGCCTTACATAGATAAGTGTTTACATACTTTACAAATCTTAAGGTATTAGATTCTTTCGAATTTGATAAGAGAAGTGGAAGACGGATCCGAAAGAGACATTTACTATAAAAACAATGATTTTTGACAGAAGAAAATCAAAAGATTTCTACTATTATATTGTTGTATCCGGTTTGGGTATTTACCGATAGGAGAAACAGGATATTTTTAACCGGAACCGACGTATTTAATAAACAAAATGTAGTGTTTCCCCAGGAGTCATAAAAAGAGAGGCATAAACAAGAACAATGGGCCGAGAAGACTGATGACAGGCCAAACAACTGACACGTGACCCTGCACAGTCGTATATTTTGGCTTTGCATCACTAAATCAGATCCGAGAGGACAATGGCGTTGAGTTCCACGCCTCGGCCTCTCACACCTAATACTGAGAATTAGTAAATGCCAACACGTGTTGCTCGGATTAGCCTACGTTGCCGCGCCTACGCTTGTTTAGGCTTTTAATTAGCCAACGTCCAATAAACTGTATCGAAAGTTGTTCGACGTCCACAATTTTTATCCCATTTTCTACTATTGTTTGCTAGTAAATCTGATATTTTGATCCCGTTAAACGATTAAATTGCCAAGCAAAAAATCCTCGGAAGGAAAATAAAGTAAAAATATGTTACTTTAATCCATTAAAACAACTTCCAAAATTCATTTACAACATCGAATCCATCGCGTGATGCAAATCAGAATTACATAATATCGTAATTGTATCGAATTAATTTTATAACAACGTAAGAGATGCCAGTTAAATTGACTAGAACTTCCTGATTTCCACCATAATTGATGTAAGAACTCTCGCTGAAGATTCCCAACTTCCATTTTTCGACAAGGAAATCCATACATAAAGTGTATAAAGTTATATTAGTAAGTTAATGAGAAAGGAAGCGAAGTAAATTTTTTTTGAATTATAATTAATTTCTTTTAAAATAAAAGAAAGAAAGAGAAAAGTTTGAATAAGATTTTAATAGAAAAATCGGGGATCCGTTTGAATATACGGCTCGGGAGAGTTCATCATTTATGTAGAGAGATCGTGTCCGGAAAAGTGGCGGGGATACGCATTCCCATTGCCCACAAAATGGGTGGAAAATCAGGCAGAATTGCCATTATGGTTAACAAGAGTCGGATGGTGAAATTTCGCGCACCTTGAAACGGTGAACGCGTGCACAATGGCGAAATTTTCCAAATGATAATTACGCACAAAGAGATAATGACAACGATATCAGAAAGCGGCTTGAGAAAGGAAGAAGTGATACATTTTCCTGACACGTCAATGGGCCCGACTCGAGTGGAGTGGGTGTGTTGTACAATCGCTACAAGAGTATGGTTGTATTACAATGCAGCCACAATGAGGACTTGACGGATTCGTCCACTAGCGTTTTCCCACGTAGAGAAGCGGCGCAGCCAGTGATCGATGATGCTTTTGTGACGCGTGCAGCAGCCAGCCATAGCACCCTCTTTCCCAAAATTACGCTCTAATACCGAATCATCCGACTCCTAATTTTTCTGCACCACCAAATGCAGCACCTGCCCCTCTCCACGCAACTCTTATACAAGTCGAGTTAGATCCGGTTCCTCTTCAAAATTTCGCTCATAGGAGAACGGTGAAGCTTTAAAACGATTATTAAACTGAAGTGAGTGAAGTCCCCGTGCTTTTCTTATAATATTTGATACTGTGTGGACGATAGATAAGTAAATAAGGAAGACAGCTACTTGTTGATGATGAGCTTTCATTTAATGATGTTATTGAAATAATTATCTCCGAAAGGGATTAATGCCAACCTCCTAATCCTATTTAATATCTAGAACGGATCTCTGTCGTCTCCTCTCCTAAATTAAATCGTATTTAGGTCCCTTATCACGTCACACACGTCAATTTTTCTACTAGAAAACCATAATTTTCTGCATTGTTTAAAGCCGTAAAATCTTTCAAATTTAACATTTAAAATTTTAAGGTTTTAAAGTCCCTTTCGCGCGTCTTAATTTAAATATAAAACTAAAGGGCTAACACCAGCCAAAAACGGGAGTCGTGTTTGAACCGTGCACAAGAACCAGACAAGTTTTATGCATAAATGATATTTAATATATTAAATCTGACACACTCAAGCCAACATTACACGAGATAAGAACCCGCACATGCGGGCCAGGTGTCAAAATATTTTTTTTTTCCTTTCTTATTACTGCTTCCTATTCCATTACAATACAATTTATAAATTATTTTAAAAGAAAATTAAAAAGAATTTGCAATAACTGTTTTCTCTCTCTGTCTTACTGTAATTTACTTGGGATCCAAATTTAGCCCATCATCCACACCCGAAATTACTAACGGGGTTGCTTTTTCAGACTAAATTTCGAGTTTAGAAAGAACCAGGATGGTATCAATTGTAAGTGAGAAGGTCTCGAATGGACCTAAAGATTTTGGGCTGGGAGTTTTTGGCTTGTGGTTTATGGCTACTTTAGTAAATAGAAACTCGTGAGTTTCGTGGTAAATTCGGGGCTAAACTTGGCATCTAGACTAAGAATGAAATTACTCGGAGGAAGAGTCGAAAGAATCTATTCTAAATGTGAGATAAAGACTAGAAAAATTTGAACGTCTTAGAAATTAGGACGCGAAGGAAGCTGTGGTCCTGCTGGCGAGCGAGGTGCAGTCGATCGTTTAGCGACCGACGGTGCGACTTATAGGCCTACCTGGTACTGTACAGACTATGACTATATGTAATATATGGTACAGGACGGTATGTTAGCTATACACACAACAAATCTGTACACAAGAGACACTTACAGAGTTTAAGGGGAAGCCCTGGCACGACTGTTCATAGCAGGGACCCGAAGTCCTGTTTGACAGGCGACTTAAGCTCGCTCCTTCCTCAGCTCTGCTTGGACAGGATGGGAATAGGCTTGTAGATTGTAGTGGACTCCGTTGGCGACGACGAAGTTGGATTGCCGGGTTCGGGCGACACGGTGGTCACGTGCTGAGATCGAAGGGCCGGATGCAGATCGTACACACCAGGGGATACCAGCGACGACAACAAGTAGTTGCAGGACGCCAGACCGGTGCATGTGGGAGCGAAAGTGGTACAGTTCCCGTTGGTGCAGGCCAAACCCAGTCCCGACCAAAGGTTAGGGGTCATTTGACCTCCGCACCCTTCTCTGCTGCCTAGTAAACAGTCAACGGTGAAACCTTGCACGGGACCGGGTTTGGAAAGAGAAACTCCGGCGTACGATACGGGATACTTGAAAGAGAGTGCTGCGGGTGGCAGGGCACCGTAAGGACCTAAGGGCCATCCCAAAGCGGCCGCTTTGTCCCCCGGAGAGGGGTGGAAGCCAGCCGAGAGAGAGCCTGGAAAGACGGAGGCTCCCGCTACAGTCCTCTTGAAGGCTGCCAGGCGGCTTCTGGAGGCTGCCGTGGATCTCCTCCGCAGCTTTCCAGTTGTGCCACCGATAAAGACGTCGTCGCTGCTGGGATCCAGCATCCAGTAGTTGCCTTTTCCCGGATCGTCGTAATGTCTAGGAACCTTGACGAAACACTTGTTGAGGCTGAGATTGTGCCGAATGGAATTCTGCCATCCTTGCTTGTTCTCTCGATAATAAGGAAAGTTCTTCATGATAAACTCGTAGATCCCGTTTAGAGTCAGTCTTTTCTCGGGGCTCTGACGGATAGCCATCATGATTAGAGCGTTGTAACTAAAAGGTGGTTTCTCGTATTTGGTAGATTTCTTCGAATTGTTGCATTCTTCCTGGTTCTTCCCTTTATCTAACTCTTTAGACACCGTACACTGTTTAGGTTTATCTTCCTCGTTCTTGTCTGTTTTACAGTCCGTGCGGCTGATGGGATATCCCGTTTTGCCCCCCGCGTTCTCGTTTTTGATGCTAGCACAAGGGGCAGATTTGGTGCTGAGATCGTGCGGTAAGTCTCCGGTCCTATCGGGTGGAGAATGCGAAGGGGGATTGGCGGGCCATCTCTCACCCCCGCCTTGGTCCTCGGCCATAATGCTACTGATGGTGAAGGAGGTTCGACGAGGAGCCATGTGGACGCGGTCCATCCCGTCGATCTTCACCATCCCGGTTCTCGTGACGGAAGCCAGATCGGCTGAGTGAGCGGAGCGTGGAAGACCGACTCGCACCTCCGCGCTCTTCCTGTTAAATAGGCTTCTTGCCAACTTCCTTCCCGAGCTGCCGGCTAATCTGCCAGTGTGTAGCAACCACCCAATGGGATTGCCGGTTGCCGACTGGCTACGCCTCCCGGCTTAATTCGCGTTAGTGATAGTCCAATCAGGAGGGAGTCGATGGGCACGCCATCCGTTAGCGCAGTCGATGGCAACGCGCCGCGTCGTGTTTACCGGATTTCTGTTTGTGTTTTCTGATCGACTCGGCTCCGCCCGTCGCCAGGTAAGTCCCCTTTCCCCGTCGGGTCGGAGGTCACCGCTTCTAACTGTTGACACTGACTGAACCGGGGCATTGTCTGTCTGACAGAAAACCTGCCACAACTCTCACTCGCCGTTATCCCGTCGATGCTATCTGCTACCACTCGTCTTATCTGCCTTTTTCCGCCTTTAAAATCCACATTTCTAGCATTATTGTCAAACGGGGCCTCCAACGATATTCTGGAATGCTCCACGTCTAGCCGTTAATTTCTACAGCCCCACACCTTTAGAAATCTCCACTTCACTTCTCATCTCTTCTAACTTCCGACATATTTTTTACTGGATGTTGAAAGCTGTGTTTTTAGGGATTAAAAATGGCTCGAATTCAAAGGTTCTGCAATGCCATCTTTTAAAAAATCAAAGTAAGAGGTAAAGGCTTCGAGCCTAGGCCTTCCGTAGAAGATCCTATTGAAAGACGACATTAGAAAGATTGTTAATGTTGTCACCATATTAAATATTGTTTGGGAGAAATGGACAACGAGGTTATAGCCCCGGAGGTGGATTGGGGATGGCGCTCATCCTTGACAGCGCGGTCTGGAGAGCGGAAACTCAAATCATAACATAATGGCTGCACAGATAAGGAAGTTTAACATTGTTTAAATTGAGGAAGACGGATGTAATTGCTGGTAATAGCGTTCGGCTGAAACTCGCTTTCATTTTAATAAATTCACTGAACTCTCAGTGAATTGTCCTGTCTGGTTGTCGCGTTGCTAAGCGACGTCCGGCTGAACATTCTGTAGAAAACCACCCGATACTCGCCCATTACAGCTTTTCCCCTTCCTCTTTAAACCCTCTTTTCCTTTATTACTCATAAATATTTAATATTTCTTCTTATTCTTAAGCTTCCACTTCTTGCTTTCTTCATAAAAGACCAAAGAGCGTATAGGAACGTCCATTCCGTCGGGTGGGCACGCCGGTTTTTTACATCTCTTGACCGTAACGAGCGTAACAGTTCTTTTCGTTTGATCTCCCTGTCCACAAATGAAGTCAATTAAATTGTTTCTTAGGCCGGAGACGCATCTTTATTAAAAGAGCTCGGAAGAAGCCGTTTCTTCTGAAGACAAACGGAATACGGAGGCAAACGAACCCCTCTTTTTTTTCCTTCCAGATATCCATACTCGAAAATTCTTCCAAAGGTATCCGTCTCGATATAATTTACTGCTGAAAATATAAGTTTTGTGTTCTAGCAGGTGGTCAAAGGGATTAATGTCAACTTTCTTTCGTTATCTCGTTTTAGCCAGGAGTCCTCCTTCTTATTTGTTTATTTTTGTACAGAAAACTCGTATTTGTTTTTACTTCACTATCTTCCCTTCTTTACTGTGTCAGCTACGATGCTACTACCATGGATTCGTAATGTGGATTTAAATAATCTATAGAATATTTAAAGTATTTAAATTATATACAGTATGTATGTATAGGCTATATATTGTATATGTATATTATAAATCGGCACTCCCGAGGGAGCGATAAAGGGGTCTAATTGCTGAACACGACAGGTGGAGAAGGGTAGATCGTCTACCGTTTTGGTGCATTGATGATTCCAATTTGGAACGAACGATCGACGAGTAAGATGGTTAGGACGATTTACAACATCTGTCTTGTTGGCCGGCATCCCGGACATTCCCCCAAGCCATCCATCTTGCCTACCATCCCCTTACTGTCAGCAACCACCCGGGACACCCGACAAAGCTATCAGGACATGTTGTTTAGGCAATAACGGCTCACTTAAGCCATCCGACAGTTACCGGGTCCCCCGTTACCCCGACAAATTTCGTTCCCTCGTCCTAATTAAGTCGACCAACACCCACCGTTCTCGCGCTTCGGACGCCCAAACCTCGCGTTTGGGGGGGAACGATGCGGTCTGGGAGAATGCTTCTAATGGAAACACAGATTATCGCCTCGGAGGTAGGAAAGTCGTGTTTGCTCTGCTGTATGTCACTGTAGCGGCGCACCACTCTGTCGACGACAGACATGACACCTGCACCACGTGATGCAAGCCAGGGCTACATTGTCGGTCACGTGACACGAGTGTTTACACTAGTAGCTCTCTTAGTAATGGCATGTGCACTTCACCAATAGGTTTCCCCCGTCCTAGATTAGCACTTTTTACACTTCACTCCGGACTGAAGTGGAGAAATATTTCTACCATTTGATAATTCTGAGCAAGATAATAAAAAATTTAGGCGATTTTAGTTGCTTTTATCACCTACAAGAGGACGAGTGACATTTCCCTACTCCTATCAATTTCGAGGATAATCGAATATCCATTGACCCTAGAGTTTCTCCGTATAACCGATAAAGGAGTCATTAAAGTCTGGCAATCATTCGCGCGATGTTCAATTAACGAAGAAGCCAGCGTCACGTAAACGGCCACCACCCCCCGGTACACTACGTTTCGTAGTATCCGTACAACGGGAGCGCATTAAACGGGTATTATTAGTGAGAATATTTTTTAAAAAAAAATCCAAGAACAAGCAATAAAACGCCATAAATCGTGTTTTTGGCGGAGGAAAGCGCTTAGATAAAATAACCAGTCGTTGTCATGTTGTGACTGTTGCCGTGGGGGTCATAACTTTCTGGCTATTAATAAAGCAGGAGTTACACAATCGGGCCGCATGCTAACGTGTAACCCGAGCCGTGATCTGGACAGTGCAACATCTTTAACTGGACAGGGCGCAGATTGAAACCACTCGGTACAAGCTAGAAATAAACCGAGTTTCTTCTCCTTTAAAAATAAAGCTTGTCGGTGGTGTGAAGAATTAAAAAAATAATAAAAGAAAAATTGGAAAAATCTCTGCCACTCTCCATACGAGTTAAGAACTTCATTTTTATCTAAACAGCAACAATAACGAAAGCATCACCTATACATTTAATAAGCTAAGAAAGACTATCCGGTTATACTCTCCAGGCGACCGTGACACTACTAAACACTATTTATCTTCCAATTCCCATAATACTAAGACCTATAAATAATCTAATAGTTAAAAAAAGAAAGCTAAATATAGTCTGGGTTTATATTTATTTTTATCCATCAAATATTTGCCGTCGAGTGTTTACCTCTTTACAATGTCTCTACTTATGCAAATGGCTCCATGTATAGTTACAAAATGGCTTACGTTAAGATCCTACACCGACTTTCCGAATTAAATTGGTAAGTTTTGAAAGAAATATTTAAATTATTAAATTGGTTGAAATTGTACCATATAATCAGGATTGTAGTTTAGGGCCTCAGATTTTTTTACCTGGAGGAGGGAGAGGGCCTTTCATGTGTTATAGAATAAGGCCTCAGATTTTTTTTGCGTGTATCATTATTTGGAAGAGGGAAAGGGCCTGTTATATGTTATAACTTGAGCCATATCAAGTCTAAGCCCTGCGCTCTTTCTATTGATACTAGGAAGTCTTTATTCAACGATAGATTTATGGACTATATCTTTCAAACCGATTGGGTTATAAATATTATGCAACCTGTATAACACTATACGTTGTATAAGCTGTACAATTTATCTATTTATATTTTATAATTAGTCTAATATCAATGTAATAAAGTTTTTAAATGCGATACGCTAAGTGCTGTACTTCAATTTGGCTTTCAAAGTTTCAATGTAAATATTAGAAAAGTTGCATAAATTTTAATTTTATGCAATTTAAAACTTAAATTTACAGCCTTTTTTTTGGCCTAAACACTAATTGTTACAGCGTTAAATCGATAAATAATCTAGAACAAGAAGGAACCTCCTTGAGAACCTTCATCTACACGGGATGAAACTGAAATTTTCGAGTCACTGTGCCATGGTTTGCATCGTAAAGGCCAATAGAAGTGCGAATGATTACACAGACTTCTCTTTAGAAAAAAAAAAAAAGAGAAAATATTTTCCATCATATTCCTTTCAATAAACATATCGTATGACGAGGTCATTGAAAAAGTGCGTCGTAACACGTAGTCTTCTTGTTTGCAGTTAACCTCTCTCCTTTGGAACTAACGAGCGTTACAAATTAATTTGTAACACTGCATACGAATACCTTATTTCTTTACAAATTCTATTAAGTGGTTCTTTCGTATTCCAACAATTTACAGGACCGACATTAATGCTTCATTCTAAGTTTCTTTTCACCATGGCGGATGCAAGAAACAGTTAAGTTACTCTGCACGCAAGGTTATAAATCGATTATTGTTAAATATTATAAGAGATTATTTATCCTGTATTAAGTAGCATAAATGAAACTTATTGTAGGAATTAATTTATTACCTTTCCGGTGAGTGATTACAACAAGGGGAAAGTATTATAATAGGTCAAATTATCATCCCCGGTTCTTTGCATTTCTCGATGTTTTAAGGTCCCCTAATTTCAAAAAACACGGGAAAAACTTTTGTATCTATATATAAATTATTATATACTCGTATTATCTGTGTGAGTGTGTTGGCCTGTATTTTGTTTTATATCTCAGGACCCCACGGAACAAAAATTACTTCTGTATACAATACGAGGCATTGATGCTATTACATTTTCGAGACGATAAGTCAAGGGGGATTAGAAGATGTAGGAGGTCATGGAGTGGGGTCAGACTTAATGAAAGTTTTACTCGGTATTGGCATCGAGAATTTTCTTTAAACTCACCCCCAAAATAAGACTAAATCTCCCGTTCGAGTGCCAGAAAAGTAGTGCAAGAGCCAGCCTTTTTAAAGTGGATACAGGCATAATTGTAGTAG